AAAAATCGTATGGAACTTGTGTTGATGCACACGCAGATTCCAACAGAATTCCGCCCGAAGGGATTTCTGTATCACCGCTATGCTGGCAAATCTTATTTAATATGGAAAGACACTTTCGTTAGATTCTGAAAGGCAAAGTGTCTCAGGAAAACAGGTTCCTAAATAGAACACACGGAAATGCTCAGTGTCTGAGCAAGACACTTTGAAACAAAAAACACTTTGAGAGTGTCTCTCTACAACTTTTTCCATAGTGTTCTATGGTAACAGATCTTTTTCTGACAGCCTGTAAAATGGAAACACTTTTGGGGAGTTCTGCTTTATTTTATTTTTTTTTTGTATATATGTATCTAGGGGAGAGGTCTGTACACCTTTTGTTTTTAATCTGCCATTTCGACATTCACTTATGAAATTTCACGCATTAGGTACTGATTAAAAGGTTAGTTTATTAGCCTAAAAAAACCAAAACTAAATATTTTTTTCATTACGGTAAAGAAAAAAATAATTTATTTTGTAAGGTGCCAAAAAACAACATTTTAAAGAAGAGGTCTGTAAGTTGGGACACTTTTAAAAGTCAATAAAACTCACACTAAAAGGATTAAAATATTACCTTTTTTCTGACTGTTCAATTAATTTGTTTTTTTTTAATATTTGTTTAGCGTTTAATTAACTTTGGTTTAAGCACTTTACCAAATTTATTTAACCCGTTTTTAATTTTTTATGGAATTTTGAAAAAAGGGGCAAAAACTTTTTTTGGTAAAAAATGGTTCACAAATGTCACAGCTTAAATCTGGCTTAGACCTGGCTTTTAATGTTTTACCCAAAAGTTTTGTTACTAAAAAAGACTCTAAAAAAATAAAAACAATTTTTTTGTGGAAAAGTTTTAAGAAAATGGTTTGTCCCAACTCACAGACCGTCCTAACCTACAGACCTCTCCCCTATATATTTATAAATATACTAGCAGGGTCTGTAGCCCGCAACTTCGCCTGCGGAAATTAAAATTAAAAATTAGGCATTGCTTTATCATTGGTACTTATTTTCGAGAAAAGATTTTATCAGAACTTTTTCCCTTGATATTTTGTCCTTTGAAAACTACTTAAAAAACATGTGTTTTTTTTAAATCTATTTAAAATTAATATGGATTGATTGCATAAGTTAAAAGATGGACAAAACAGAAACAAACAGATTCCTTTTTCGACACAAATCCTTGCACTAATTTCATTCAAAACATTAGTATTTTGTCCAAAACATATTATTTAAATATAGAATTTCATACAGCGTTGGGCATGTAATTACATTTCCAATCCATTGCCATTAAAGCCTAGAAACATTATTTGAACAAAAAATTTCTTTAAGAAAAAAATAGATAGGATACGAATTTGATTAAATTTACATGTTAAAAATATTAAACTCTTTTTCAATTTCGGAAAGTTTAGACTATTGCTGTTTCGCTCTTACCCAGATAAATTCATGCATTTTTATACCCTTGTAGAGGGTAGTATAATTTCAGTCAGATGTTTGCAACGCAGTGAAGGAGACGTTTCCGACCACATAAAGTATATATATTCTTGATCAGCACCAATAGCCGAGTCTATCTAGCCATGTCCGTCTGTCCGTCTGTCCGTCTGTCCGTCTGTCCGTCTGTCCGTCTGTCCGTTTCTATGCGAACTAGTCTCTCAGTTTTAAAGCTATCGCGATGAAACTTTCCCGAAGGTCTTCTTTCTATTGCAGGTAGTACATATGTCGGAGCCAGCCGGATCGGACCACTATATCTTAAGGCTCCCAAACAAATATAAGAAAATTCATTGTAACTTTGTAGGAAGTAGGCGTTTTGATTCTTGACTACTTAAAAACAAAATTGAAATAAATCGAAACGCTGAATCTGGAATCCCTGGAACTGCACCGAGTGAGTATTCTTTTATCTACAAGGGTATATAAGCTTCGGCTGGCCGAAGGTAGCTTCCTTTCTTGTTTTGTATGAATTAAGAGTGCAAAAATATGAATTTCAAAGCAGTACTTTATCAAAAACAAAGCAAAAAACTGCCAAAATATGGATTATCACGCCGCGTTAAGTTTGTAATTCAATTCCAAATCGATTAGCGTTTAAAGCTGGAAAAAAAACTTGTATTCTTAAAAAAAAATTGTTAAAAGTTTTACATAGCTCTCCAACAACCAATATAATAATTTTGATTAAGATTTAAAAAATTTGAGGGAATATTTTTAATTTAAGTTCGCCTTGAAATGTTACAAACGCTTCAAAATGTGATGGGATGTTTATCCTTCAACAGTTAAAAAAAAATTTATGTCTCCCATTCTCATTTTAAAAAAATGAATGCCAGAGATAGGATAATTATAATCCTGTTGATATTGGCCTTACTACCTCGTTCTACATTTTCAATTTATATTTTCTATTTCTATTTCTTGTATTGATATAGATAAGGAAGGCAAATGGGCGGGGAAGCCGTGAATCAAATTGTTTAAACATTTGAATTTGTTTAAACAATATGAGGCACGTGTAATAAAGAGCAAGAGAATCAATTGGTTTGGATATTTAATGTTCTTTTAATATTATCAACGCGATTTGATTTTTAGTTCACAAAAATCGGTTACAAAATGTCTTATGTAAGTATGTTGTGGAAATGTAAATGAAATATTCTTTTAGCAAAAGGATATCAGTATTATCTTGAATTTGAATTTGAAAAATTGAGCTTAATGGGATTTCTGTAAGGTCTATTGATATTATAAAAATTAACGTTTACTTAAGAAAAAGGCGCAAAAGAAAAGATTTGCGATATAATCGATTTTTTTTGGCTGTGGTATTTTCATTTTCCCCTTGCGCGGTCACACTTAAATTGCGACAGCAGGACATACACCCTGCAAGCAAACGGGCGATATTTCTATCGCCTATCGTCCAGAAGTCACTTCTTAGTAACTTCTGGAAGATAGAAACACGACAGAACACATTTTACAAAAACAAAATATACATCTATCGCAAAGAAGTCACTTCTTGGTCACTTCTGGACGATTAAAATACGATAGAACACATTTTACAAAAACAAAAAGGGTCACGATCGTGGAGAAGTAACTTCTAAGACACTTCTAGGCGATAGAAAGACGATAGAACACATTTTACAAAAACAAAAAGGGTTCAAATCGCGAGGAAGTAACTTCTGAGGCACTTCTGGGCGATAGAATGGCGATAGAACACATTTGACTACCTAAAAAGGGTTCACATCGCGAAGAAGTAACATTTGAGGCACTTCTGGACGATAGAATGGCGATAGATCACATTTGACTACCTAAAAAGGCTTGCGATCGCGAAGAAGTAACTTCTGAGACTCTTTTGGGCGATGAAAAGGCGATCGAACACATTTTACAAAAACAAAACCAATGGGAAAAAACATCTTCCAATTCACTTCTGGAAGTTAAATTGAAGAAAGAAAGGAATTTGGTTTTATTTTTTTGAAGTCTTTGGGGTAGAATCCGCTCTTGGCTCTCTCTTTATACCTGAAAACTACCCTTTTTCTCTTTGACCTACGCACTTTGTGTTTTGAATTCGAGCGTCAGTTCGTTTCGAGATTTCTTTGTGATTAGTGCGATTTATTCTAAATTTCTGTGTTTGTGATGAAATGCGGAGTGAACCCGTTATTTTTTAAATATTACATACCGGTGGAATATAAATAAAATACAATATTTATTTACATCAAAAATTAAAGTGATTGGAGAAATCGAGATTTATTTAATTATAAAAGGTAAATACCTCCTCCGATTTTTATATGGCACAATATTAATAATTTTTTTGTTGTTTTAAGCATTTACATAGACGGAACACGGAACTGGAATTAAATAAAATAATACAACACCATTTCCTACAAGCTTATGGACCGTGCTTACATGCCGCAATGCTTTTGTAACTATATATTTCAATAAATGTGTTGAAAGAATAAACATGAAGAATGAGCACAAAAAACATATTTTCCAATTGGGAAAGGGTCTTCTAGGTATCGTCTACAAGTGTCTTCTGAGTCACTTCCAGAAGTGACTTCGGCGACACTTCTACAAGTGACTTGCACGATATCGCATTCGGATCGCCGAAGTCACCCCCGTCGGGAAGAACTGTTCCACTACGGCGGCACTTCTAGAAGTGTCGCCTAAGTCACTTCTGGAAGTGACTTCCGCGACACTTCTAGGAGTCACTCAGAAGTGACTTCGGGAAGTGTCGCCGTAGTGGAACAGTTCTTCTTCTTCGGCGATCCGAATGCGATATCGCGGACGATCGTTTTCATCTTCTGGACGTCACTAAATAGTGACTTCCGCGATAGAAAATGCTTGCAGGGCATATGTACATATATACATGCGCCAGCAGAACATACATAAAACATATGGGGACGCGTGACGTCACATCAGGATAGCCAAATTTGAAAATATTGGGGACTTGGTTAAGGATGCTGAATCTCCAAGAAATTTAAATGCAGTTATTCGCGGGTATGCCATAAGATTATAAACATCAAATTTTTAAACCATTTTAACAACATTTATAACAGAGAAATGGCAAAAGAAAGAATTAAAAAAAAAAACAAATCGAAGTTTGGGGCACTTTGGGGTCGTTTTTTGTTCTAAAAAGTACCCCTTACGCGGCTCCTAATTATTTTAGTAATTACTGTGATTTTTCTAGATTTTTAGGTCAATCCGTTCTGGGTGGAATTTGCTACTGACCGTTTTTTAATCAAGACAAATATTGATATAGATAATTTAATTTTTTTTTGTACCCACGAGTAGTGAAGTATGTTTTTTTTTGCCTTTTTCATTGTGGAAAAGTTTTATTTTTTGTTCGATTTTTTCGTTTAGTTGTGTTTTTGCTGATAATGTTCTTCGTATTGATTTATTAATTAAATTTAAAATTAGCTTTCATTTTGGTTTTCCATGAAACCCAAATGAAGCATCTTGGCTAACAGGCGAACTTAAATTTACCTATAACTAACAAAATAAATGTATTAACTTACTTTTGTCGAATCCTCTTGCATTTTAGTATGTTCCGCTATAAACCGCACACAAAAACAGCTTTTGTGAATTTTCGGGAGACATTTTGAATGAGAAAACGCTGGATTGCTTAATATGGGACTCTTTATCTCTAAAGATCCGATATCTATGTCGGGGACGGCTGCTATTTCGTCAGAACTACAACGAGTGAGTGGCGGCACGGGACCATGAACTTGACAGCTTCCTCCAAATGGTCCATTGGCTGTTATGCTAAAAATTAAAAATTAGCCTTTGATAACATTTTTTAACAAATACAGTCATAATGCAATACTGAGATAAATTTTTAGCAGGGGGTACACTATGGGGATATGTCAGTTCTTTTGGCATAAACGCAAAAAATTAAAGTTACTAATTTAAAAAACAAATATTTTTTTAATACTAAAATGGTTAAACTTAATAGAACAATTTTGTAAAAAATTGTTGCGCTAATTTTACTCCAAAGTTTCTCAACGACGGTGAAAGTGTTAAGAGGACTGAAAAATAAACCAAAATATGGAAATTTTACCTCAAGGTATGCTAAAATACTTCTCAAAACTGTGTGTTGTAACTATTTGCATTGTCCAGTTATTTAAAGGGGGGAAATGGTTAATTCGGCCAAAAAAAGGTCTATTTTCATGCATTTTTTCACACGATACGGTTAAAGTTAGATAAATTATTTTATTATTATATCAAAGTGCAATACTTAAACTATATTTTCTGAAATTTGTATTGAAAAAAATTAAAAAATGAGCCGTCTGCGGCCAATCTCCGTTGGCGCCTCCAAGAAAAGAGGTTTTGCGGTGAACAGCATAACTCATTACTGGATCATCAGAAAAATATAAAAAAAATATGTTCATTAGTTAAGATGTTTCTTAAGGTAATCAGGTCGAGTTTTTTTTTTTTTTATTTTTGGATTTTTGGTAACATGTTCAAGTCAAAAACGTGATTTTAGCCAAAAAAAAATTGGATATATTAGTTATTATAAAATAAAAAATAAAAAACTCGACCTGATTACCTGCGGATTTAGGTACAAAAATTATGTGCAAAATTTGAGAATGATCGGTACATTAAATTTCGATGGACACTGTTCACCGACTTATAAAAACATACTTTTCAGGAGAACGATTTAAAGTTTTGGACGGCAGGGACCGCCCCTCGTTCAAATAGTCATATTTTTTGTAATTTTCATCCGATTGACATGAAATTTTAACACATCATTCTTAACGTATTGTACATTAATAAAAAAAAATAAAAAACAAGAAAGGAAGCTACCTTCGGCCAGCCGAAGCTTATATACCCTTGTAGATAAAGTAATGCTTACTCGGTGCAGTTCCAGGAATTCCAATTTTGTTTTTAAGTAGTCAAGAATCAAAACGCCTACTTCCTACAAAGTTAAAATGAATTTTCTTATATTTGTTTGAATTTTCCTATGGGAGCCTTAAGATATAGTGGTCCGATCCGGCTCGCTCCAACATATGTACTACCTGCAATAGAAAGAAGACTTTCGGGAAAGTTTCATCGCGATAACTTTAAAACTGAGAGACTAGTTCGCATAGAAATGGACAGACGGACAGACGGACATGGCTAGATAGACTCGGCTATTGGTGCTGATCAAGAATATATATACTTTATGTGGTCGGAAACGTCTCCTTTACTGCGTTGCAAACATCTGTCTGAAATTATAATACCCTCTACAATGGTATAAAAATCAAAAAACAAATTTAATTAAATTTGCACCTTTTAAAAAAAAATCACCACCAAATTTTTTAAATTTTTGGCTTTTTCTTCAGAGGCTTAAGGTTGACGATAATAACAATTTTTATTTAATTACTACCTTATCCTATCTTATATTTGTTTTCTTAATAAATATGTTTTCTATTAATTAAAAACAAGAAAGGAAGCTAGCTTCGGCCAGCCGAAGCTTATATACCCTTGCAGATAAAGTAAATACCTATAGCTTATTGCTCACTCGTTACAGTTCCAGGGATTCCAGATTCAGCGTGCCTATTGAATTTTTTTTTTTAAGTTGTCAAAAATCAAAACGCTTACTTCCTACAAAGTTACAATGAATTTTCTTGTATTTGTTTGAATATTCCTATGGGAGCCTTAAGATATAGTAGTCCGATCCGGCTCGCTCCGACATATGTACTATGTACTTTCGGGAAAGTTTGATCACGATAGCTTTAAAACTGAGAGACTAGTTCGCATAGAAACGGACAGATGGACATGGCTAGATAGACTCGGCTATTGGTGCTGATCAAGAATATATATACTTTATGTGGTCGGAAACGTCTCCTTCACTGCGTTGCAAACATCTGACTGAAATTATAATACCCTCTGCAAGGGTATAAAAATATTCGGAACATTTTTAGCTTGAAAATTATCGATAAACGACAGAATCGATATTTTCGATACTTTATCATTATCGGATCGATAATATCGATGTTTTCAAGGAAAGCAAAGGCAAATAAAATAACAATTTTATAATTCTTTTAATACCACGTATACACCTGCATTATACACTTATTAATTTTAATATTAGAGAAAATCGAGGTTAATTTATTTAATTTCAATTTCCGGTTTTCATTATTAAAATGCAGTTTCAGACTAAAGAATCCTCTTTTTAAGAACTCGTGGTTTATTTATTTTTGATCATTGAGTTGAGTCACATGTCTAGAAAGACACAAATTCTTAGTCAAATATATTTACGGTTTCTTAAGAATTTGTTTTAAAATATCCCATGAGGAAATTCCTATGTAAAATAATAGAACAAACCTTTGTTCCATACCATTTGTTGGTACTAAAGAAGAAGAATTCCTCCTCTTCTGAAGAATTCCCGGTTGATTTTTTTTTTGATCCTTTGCCCAAATCGCTCAAACGGTCTTCGTTTTGTATGTTGTTGGTATTTAAAGAACGAAAGTTCATTCTTTTCCCAAGAAATCGCCGTTCCTTCATTTTCGATTTTATGCCACAACCTATGGTCATTATACCCGCTACTCGTAGAGTAAAAGGGTATATTGTATTCGTGCAAAAGTATGTATTTAAATTATGCCGCCGCTTTATTCTTTGTACCATACTTGTACTTGTATGTGCTATTTTTGACAAATCTCGATCAGACATTTCAATATTTTTGTGGATTAAGGCCAATACTTTTTATACCCTTGCAGAGGGTATTATGATTTCAGTCAGAAGTTTGCAACGCAGTGAAGGAGACGTTTCCGACCCCATAAAGTATATATATTCTTGATCAGGGTCACTAGCCGAATCGATATAGCCATGTCCGTCTGTCTGTCCTTCTGTCTGTCCGTCTGCCTGTCCGTCTGTCTGCCTGTCCGTCTGTCTGTCCGTCTGTCTGTCGGTCTGTCTGTCTGTCTGTCCGTCTGTCTGTCCGTCTGTCTGTCCGTCCGTCTGTCCGTCTGTCTGTCCGTCTGTCTGTCCGTCTGTCTGTCCGTCTGTCTGTCCGTCTGTCTGTCCGTCTGTCTGTCCTTCTGTCTGTCCGTCTGTCTGTCCTTCTGTCCGTATGAACGCTGAGATCTCGGAAACTACAAAAGCTAGAAGGTTGAGATTTCCCACACATATTCTTGGGCTTCTTACGCAGCGCAAGTTTATTTTAGCCGAGTGCCACGCTCCCTCTAACGCCCACAATCGCCCACTAACGATTTTAAAATGTGTCTGGCGCCCTAACCTTTAAAGATTTCCGAGAAGTATAAATGCGATTTTGTTGTGTATATTTATACCTATCGAAATGTAAATGTAGAAGACATTTTCAAATCGGACCATTCATTAAAAAGTTATACGCAATCAAATTTGTTTATATATCTATCTCCGTTCGCACTTCCTTTAGCTGAGTTTCGGGTATTAGATAGTCGGGACACCAACCCGACTATAGCGTTCTTGGTATAGGTTTTATTATAATTGAGCACAGACCCAAAGATATCTTAAGTCAAAACATTAAATTTGCTATTTTTTTCAAACCGCAATTGCAAAAATACCACCCGTTAAACGCGAAAACTAAGTATGCAGATATGCTTATATACGTCTATATTAACATATTTTAATGCCAATAGGGTGCATCTTTTATTAAAGTTCATTTTGTTGTCCTGTGTTATCTATCTCTTTAATGTACCTCAAAGCAAAACAAGTCCAAAAACGATTCCGGTTGAATGGATTATCCTCCAGCTTAAGTCTCTGACGAAAAAACCACAAAGTTAAAACATTGGTGGTGGTTTTTTTTTAAATGGTCCAAAACGGGCAATAAGTAATATATATACATTTCTATAACAAACTGGAGTCTATTCATAACTAAAGCTTAACAGAACACTAACACTTTTGTTAGCTTTTGGCTAAAAGAGACATACACAAGATATTGAAAAACTGGACAATGCAAACAGTTACAACACAATTTGTTTAGAGAAGTATTTTAACATACCTTGAGGTAATTTTGCCATATTTTTGTTTATTGTTTAGCCCTCTAAGCACTTTGCACGACGTTGGGAAACTGTTGAGTAGCTTGAGCTTTAATCGGCTACAACAATCGGCTACAACATTTAACATTTTAGTATTAAAGAAAATATTTGTTTTTTAAATTGCCTTTATTCCAAAAAAACGGAAGAAAGAGAAGGAGACGTTTCCGACCCCATAAAGTATATATATTCTTGATCAGCATCACTAGACGAGTCGATTTAGGAGACGTTTCCGACCCCATAAAGTATATATATTCTTGATCAGCATCACTAGACGAGTCGATTTAGCCATGTCCGTCTGCCTGTTTCTACGCAAACTAGTCTCTCAGTTTTTGAGCTATCGGGATAAAACTTTCCCAAAAGTCTTTTTTCTATTGCAGGTAGTATATAAGTCGGAACCAACCGGATCGGACAACTATATCTTATAGCTCCCATAGGAAGGATAAAAAAAAAAACGTAAAAAAGTTCTAGCTCCGGTGTTTTTTGAAATTTTACCTTCTACTCTTGGGAATATTTTTTTTTATATATTTTTGAATTTAGGTTTTTTTGTTTTTTAAATCTGATGACTATATCATATAGCTGCCATAGGAACGGTCGAAAAATTAAATGGAAATTAATGGGAAAAAAATGATATCTTTGTTGGTTTTTATTACATTCCCTTCTACTCTGGGATATGACTATTTTGAAATATTTCCGAATTTCGATTTTAATTTTTAAAAGATCGAACTACTATATCATATAGCTGTGATAGAAACGATCGAAAATTAT